ACCTTTTACAGAATGCACCATTGACTTAAATTCTATTTCCTCCCTTTGTTTTTGTTACTGAACAGTTTTTGACAGAAATCATATAAATAAGTGTACTCGATCGCAGTTCGACTAACGTACGTCCATTTTATTCCAAAACTAGTTAAAACTTTAACACTTGAATGAAATGTCTAGTTCTGCCCATAGTTAATGACAATACCTATTATTTGGATCGACAATTTTGTGCATTAAGTATTTTATTTCTAGAAGCTTTTAAAACTATGTTTAACTTACATCCATTGAAATCGTTAATAGTTTTGATCGAGAGTAATTACATTTTAAATATAAGTTAAATATTGCCCATATCAATAATTTGTTAGAACGATATCAACAGTTATAACCAACAGTTGCAGGAAGGTTTATTGAAGAATTTGAAATTGCCAGATAGTTCTAGTGAAATATTCGACATAGAAGTAAGGGCTGAAACGGTTTGTAATAATCTATTGCCACCTAAATCATAGAAACGTAATGAGAAAATAATAACGTAAATGTGCAAGAATTGTTATTGATTTCGCTTGTCTGAAAAATAGTAATATATACAGTATATTTATTTTTTATAATATAGATATTTACATTTTGTTTGCTTTGATTTAAATGCTGCAAATAAACTGTTTCAATACATTCGGTATTGCTACAATAATATGTTACATCACAGACAATAGATCATTTATTACTCGTACATTATTAATAGTAGTAATAAATATTTATTATTTATAGCCTACTCCCACCGCCTCAGACGACCTGTCGCTCAACAGTGCTCTACAGAAAATAGATCTTTTTGCCGCACCCTGTATTTATTTAAATACTTGATGTTATTACAATTTATTTTATATCTGCTCTAAATGAATGTTCATTCCTCATAGGTGTCATCCAGAGGTTTCCAGGTGACAGCTTAAACTGTGAAACCTATTGAACATTTGTAAGTAATAATATGGTTACTAATATTATTGCCACGCTAAATTATTTTCATTTAAATTAATTGGCAAAAATGAAATACTATTTACGCAATATATCAGTTAAAACATGATGTTTTTTAAATATGCAAATGCCCCCAACGCATCAAACTGGCAAACTGGGCGTATAATAGTTTTCCTGATTACATTTTAGTTACTAAAATATTTCCTATTAAACATGTCGGACTTAAATTCCGTATTTTAATAGCATTAGGTTTAACAAGTATTTAAGTTTGCTGCTATAGGGAAGGGGAAAACATTGTTAGTGAAACTTTAATATCTTGGTATGAAATAAATCGATTTACTTTCAGTAATCATATTATATTCATAAAAATGCTAACTAAAACAGTTAACTTAATACCCATAAGAATAACAGGAGGTGTTGAATTCACGTTATTTTTTGGGAATTTCATCTGTAACCAATTGGCACACAAACGCGCTCCAATTAATTTTTGACCCCATTAAACCCCAAATATGCATTTGAACGGATGGCGTCTGCAACATCAAAACGAATGAGGAAAGCTGTCCCGGGTCCAGAGCTTACTGTGAGACCTAGGGTAATAAATGGTAATAACTTAATTGTATACTAATTAGAATAGCAATAAACGTGAACCAATAATGATTTATACCTTCATTGGTGTTAACAGTTATTGACAAACTAGTATCGAGGAATGAGGCATTTAATGAATGAGCAATGACGACTTTTGGAATCGTCATTGTGATAGGAAGGGGGAATTAGGGAATTTCTCATTCCCTTCTCTCCCTGATCAGCCCATTGCCAATCTGATCGCCATTAGTTGACTTAAGCAATCCGCTTTATAACTATTTTTGCCCTACTCAATCACCCTCATAATCCTACCAAATTGCCTTGACTTTTTTACCATGAATTAATAATTATCATAAATCAGGCGAAGATTTCCAGCCTCTGTACATCCGAGATTGCCGTGTTGTTCGACTTATATGTGCGCGTTAATGAAATGTCCCTGGGCCAAACTTATTTTTTACTCTATCAACAAATGTAGACAAATGGCATTGAATCATGCACATTACTTCTTAATGACAACAGGCACTATATAGTTCGAGCTTATAAGCCAATCATCGCTCTCCGATAGAGATGCGACTCTCGGCTTTTAAAATAAAATTTACGAGATGTTCAAGAATTGGGATGCGCTCTAATGGCCAGATTGGCAAGTCATGTTTTAGCTACCTAAAACTTTGTGCGAGAGTCAACGCATAGAGAGGCGTCTTAAGCTTCTAACAAGGCTTTAAATAAAAAAAGTGTTCAGTATATTGTAAGCATAGGTTGTTTTGTTTTAATTTTCAGCTAAAGAAAATATTTTTTGTGTGCATTATTCAAGTTAATTAACTTTTACATAAATACACTACGGTGACTAACTAAAGTCGACTTCAGTGACACCTAGTGGTTACCAAGTGTACTGTTACGAAACGAACAGCTACATCTAGCGGTGAATAGGCGAACTGTTGCAAATATTGATGATATGGTAGCGAAAAACACCGGTAGAAATATTATCAGTGGACTTATTTTGTTTAAAATACTGTTAATACATAATAGTTAGCTTAGATAATAGATAAGCAACTTAACTATTTGGGTAACTGAGCGAACCATTGCGAATATCAGTGGACTGCTTTAACCAACTTGATAAAGAGGTACCTATCAGTTTAACATACCATTGACTATATATATATATATTAAGTACTTGTACTTGTTTCGTGTTGTTTTTGGGAATCGTATATTTTACATATATCGATTGATATTGAATCCTTTTAAGTATGATTAACAACCTTATTGAAGATTTATATTGTTTTAACAAGGTTATATAGCATATTAACTTTGTGTAGATACAAAGTCAATGATAGCATTTAACACACATATTTACATTGAGGGTAATTTTTAAGGTAGCTCAAAGTAGATTTAGGGTAATTTTAGCCCGCCTTTAGGGTAAAAACGCTACAACGAGGTGGCAACTGGCAACACTGTTAGAGGGTTGAGAGTTCCAGTATTATATGGTTATTATATATCTATGATTATAAGCCAATCATCGGTCTCAGGTAAGAGACACAACTCTCGGCTTTTAAAATAATGGAATTTCAATTTTAAGTTCATACACGTCACCAAAGAAATACGGTTAGGGTTGAAGCAAATTGGGGAGGTCATGTACCAGCTACTCCAAAATCACTGTGAGAGTCTGCAAGTAAAAACGCGTTCCCAGCATACTAACACTGGTTTAAATGGAATAAACGTGATTTTTTTTGAATCTTTGTTGGGTTTATTTGTTTGAGAAATGTTCAGTTTTTTTATTGCCCATTATAGATTTAATAATATAGATATATAAATTAAACGACGGTGGGTTAAAACGATTGATTCAACTCAAGAGACACCTAGCGGCAATTAGACGAACTGTTGCGAACGTCAAAGCGAAAGCGTACCAACCACCAGCGCACCTAGTGGCGAAGGATGGCGACTGGCCTTGGCAGACATGGTTGGGTAGCGTTCTCATGCAGAACAACTTTTGAACTCCAATTTTGTTCCTCAGTAGTTAACTTATAAGGGGAGTCGCTACTGAAAATGTCCAATTTTGTAAAGAACACTATTTTTATTGTTCTATGGTGAATAGGGTTTCAGAAAAACACAACATATGGTATGTATGTATGTATGTTATGTATGTATTGTGAGAGGGGTGGTGGACTCAAGCCATAATCACGTCAACCGAAGCTTATGGTAACATAAACATATTATATAGTTGAACATATGGTATAATATATAATTTTATCACTGTGAAAAAAAAATTGAAGAGAGAGTGCACACCAGCTTCTATAGTTACCAAGTATAACTAGTCCGCTGTTTGGCGCAACTTTAAAATTTTGTTTTTTACGTATAAGTTTTTATACTTTTTAACCATTAAAGCTATATGAATGACATTTGTACCACTCATTGTTTGTACTATAAAGCAACTTTTTGTGCATGGGTATTGTAATAGGTTAAATATAAGTTCATGAAAAAACTTAACAAATAATTACATAGGAATTAAAAAAAGTTATTTATGAAACCATAGCTAATTGAAAAAAATGAGTATGCACAACAAGTTAGTACTTATTTGCTCTTTAAAATAAGATATCAAACAATAAAATTGGTTTGAGTAGTTAAAAAGAGATTAAAAACAACCTAAAAAAGTATATATTGTATGATATTTTTTTAAAAGGATAAAAATCACTAGTTTCAGTAGCAGCTTCCATTATTTTACCCTTTAAAGACTTTACAGTTGCTATGTATTTTCTTCCTTGTGTCATAAATATATCCAGCAATATTACTGATATTGATGAACAATTTAGGATTTTCTTAATTTGTAATAAAAATAAAACAAGGATTATAGCAGTTTGTTTTTAACAAAAATACAATATTTTTAATATAGTGAAAACATCGAGACATTTCTTTGTAAATAGTTATATTGTGTTTGTTTGCTGCTAACTTGAAATTTAACTCATTTAGCTTAGAAGATAATAGCAATAGTTTTTTTTTCTAACAAGCAAAGATTAAAAAAACATAGTTTAGTAAAATAATTAATTTTTTCCATGACCCAAATATGACCCTATATATACAGTCTACAATCAAATTTATGTTTAGTTGCTATTTTGACTATTAATCGTTCAGAGCGAAGGATTCAAGATTGTAGCTTATCACAGTACTCTAAATGAAGTGTTTATGATTAAACTTTGTTTGATGACAGTCTAAAGTATTTATTTTTTAGGTTGAATAAACAGTGAAAATAAACTAAATTTAAACTAGTTTTGTATAAACTCGCATCACTAAAAGAGTCTTTTCAGATATTACATACCCTCATTATGTCATTTAACTGAAAAGGAACACTACAGTTTCAAGTTATTAAAATAAATGGTTTAGACTTGCAAGAAAATGATATTCCTTCAAAGCACAAGCAATGAAACACAAATGGGAAATTAAAAAAAATTGTATGAAAAAAGGTAAAATAATTTGAATGCGTTTAATATTTATTTGTTTAGAAGTTCGCAAACATTTACACTGTAGCGACAGGAATCCGGTACAACAGGGAGTCCAAGTTCTCTTTGTAGTTGTTCCCTTTAGGGGCACCATGACCTGGGCGCCCCCAAAAACCACCCCAAGTTTCGAAATGGCGTTTGCTTTTTACTATATCCTCTGAACGAGCTTCCTGAAACATAGTTTCATATATTAACATAAATAAAAAGAACAAAAAGATAACTCACCTTAAATGTACTGCTAAACATTATGGGAAATTGCTCAAGTATTACTGATCCTAAACTTTTTAAGAACATGTGCTTTGGCTTCGCCTTGATATAACACTTTAAATTAAAACAGAGGAATTAAAATTATAAATTAGTGATTATTTAACATCAAAACTGTCTTTGCATATTTAAAAATTATAACGTATGGAAATCAATACTAAAATAATCGCATCTTCCATTCCAATTGATTCTTTTTTTACAACGTTATAATTGTATACAATTTTCATTACGTTTAACTTCAATGACAACGCTGACCTATCATTTAAATTAAGTGCAATCTAGAAATGTTGGCATAGTTCAACCCATAAGAATATTTTTTTCATCCGTAAATTTGAAACATAATATGATAGGCACTCAAAAAAGGTCGAGGCGAAGACTTTTTATCTTAGGTATTAATTAATGGCTTCTTTTAATCTAGTTCCTCTTTAGCATGTAGAACAAAGTTTTGCAAACTATCCTTCAGTTTTGTTTTCAAGAAATATATCCACCACCACCCTTAAAAACTGTTCGATGATCATTGAACAATGAGGATTAAGTTACGGGAACATACAACTTTTAAAATTTTAAAACTCTTAAAATTTTCAATGGAAATGTCAATCACACAACATAAAAAGTCTACGACCTTCTACAATCAAACAAAGTCACTGATTTTCGGATTTGTCTCTCATAATATATTGTGTCCCAAATGTATATAAAAACGTAAAAGCACATTTAAGTAAGCAGAAAATAATAAGTATACATTTTTTCTCAATAAATAAAATGCTATCTGAGACTGTTCACAGCATTACCTTAATTTGCATTTCCTTGTTAATGATTTGGGTCGTTAATTCTCGGAGGTATTCTCGTTCATTGACTGGTTGTTTCCACACCGGTTTACTAAAATAAAATGTACAAACATTAGTTACTGCAGTATATTCCTTTATGTTCCACAATAGCATTTAATGGTTAAAGTTATGAAGTAATTTTGACACATAAAAACTGTTTGTAAATGAAATCTTTGTAAACTTTATTTATCCATACCATTCGGAATAACAAAATGATTTTCCGAAAATTAGAGTGACATTTTAACTGCAGGCGCTAAAATATATCTGCAGTGGTGTCTTAAATCAGGCGACAGATCATGTTCAGCTCTCATATTATTTTAAGTAATCCCAGCTAACGGAATATGAACAAAAACAGTGTCAACATGAAACATACATAATAGAAATCAATTAAAGAAGTATTATTATAACATCTAAATAGAGTACTTTAGGATAGAAAAAATAGTTTAAAACTGGCTCCAATGCATGTTAAGTATAGTTATTTATATTCTACACAGGGAGTTCCATGAGTTAGAATGACAAACCCCGGGAATAGCATTATGTATAAAAAAGGAGAACATTGTGAATGACTTGTTTTCCAATACTGCTCCCAATATTGGTTGAAACAACTTCGAGAACATACATACAATGCAAATGTACAAAATGGCAAGTATCTGGCACATAAAGAGTTATTTAAACATTTATTCTTCATTTCCTTTTAATTTAATACATAAAATAATTTCCAGGAGTTAAGTATTTTACTTGTGGAACACCTTTTATAAATGACTTTCCCTGAAAATGAAATAGTATTAGTATATTACGGCTGGGGGCAGGTGTTTATGGTAGAAGCATGATAGTTCCAGTGAAATGCTTACCAAGAGCAGGATTTCATGCGAGTACAGTTAACATATTCCCGGACAATTCACGTATGCTTCTTTATGCCACAATATCAGCAACAAACACAAGTAAAGGATAAGTAAAACACACCCCACTCATACAAACACAAAACTGTCTAACATACACTATTTACACAACATTTCATACTTGCTTAAAACAGTAACCTATTCTAATATTCATTGTTAAAGTTAAATGAAGATAGCTATGCATGTTTAAGGCTTTATGGTAGCATCGTTTGGATTTTATCAAAGAAACTCATACGCCTTTTCTTTTCAAAGTCCATCGTATGAGTGCTTGGTACATTTGCCTAGATACAGTTATAATTTAAAGCTTAAACTTTTTTTTGGAATCTACAACTTTCTTGTCTCAAAAAGACCGGAGCCCATCCACTTACAGTGTAGTGTGGGTAACTTACAGAACAGATTTCCCATTCGTCATCCTAGTGACGTCTGTGCTAGAAAGGTCCTTGCGACGATAGCCGAGCCTGCGACGAGCTAGGAGTGGAACGAGCTCTACTCCTCCCGTCAATGATTCCTGCAACAAATCAAACAATACACTTCCTACTCTAGATAGCGATTAGCTGGGAGTGGAACAAGCTCCACTCCTCTGGTCAGTGATTCCTGCAACAAATCACACAATACACTTCACACTCCAGTGAGCGATTAGCTAGGAGTGGAACGAGCTCTACTCTTCCCGTCAATGATTCCTGCAACAAATCAAACAATACACTTAACACTCCAGTGAGCGATTAGCTAGGAGTGGAACAGGCTCCACACCTCTGGTCAGTGATTCCTGCAACAAATCAAACAATACACTTCACACTCCAGTGAGCGATTAGCTAGGAGTGGAACAAGCTCCACTCCTCTGGTCAGTGATTCCTGCAACAAATCAAACAATACACTTCCCACTCCAGTGAGCGATTAGCTAGGAGTGGAACAAGCTCCACTCCTCTGGTCAGTGATTTCTGCAACAAATCAAACAATACACTTCACACTCCAGTGAGCGATTAGGAGTGGAACGAGCTCTACTCCTCTGGTCAGTGATTTCTGCAACAAATCAATCCTAGAACAACCTAAACTATTGATAAAAATAGTGACTTTTAGTGGAGCCTAGAACCCTCAGGGGAATAGGAAAAGTGGGAGGCCGAAGACATCCTGGAAGAGGTCGGTTGACAAAGAAATCAAGAGCTGCGGTGAAATCAAGCTGATGGCACAAAACCGTGTGGAAGGCGACTGCGGTGGCCTTGCGTCCCCTATGGGAAAACAGGAACTAAGTCAATATAGGCTACACAATACAATACAGATAATTGATGTAATTTAATGATGTACCATTTAATTACAAGTTAATAAATTAAACTACTCAATATTACAAATTGAAAGAATTGTAAGTTATAAACTATTCCAGTTCACGCACATATGTTACAATACATTGGTCAGAAAACATTTACAAAAGTTTTGCCCATTTCACATGGGCCGTCACTTAACACTCAGTCTAGTTTGAGCACATATAACGTATAACTCCGAGTAATGTTTTCCTCATCACGCCTTCTAGGTCGAATGCCATCATTGTGACTTTTTGGTTGGACGCCTCAGCCTCCAACATCAAACATTTGACCAAAACCCTAATTTCCAGGTGTAATCTACCAAGGAGGCTTTTCATTTTTTGGTTCCATCCATCGGCTGAGCTACTGAATATATTATATAACAAGAAAACCTGCCTATGACATTGGCTATAGCAACTCCACATCAAATAATAAGAAAATATAGTTCTTATAATGTAAACAAGCTATTCCATATCACTGAGATAGTAAAATTGAGTGCTTTTCCCTAGCTATGTATCCATCCCTACTGGTGTACAACATACCCACATGTCATCTGGCTCGCTGCTATGCGTCATAAACCTGGTTCACTTGTTCTCGGGGTTTAAAAAACATTTGACCGCAAACTGGAAAACTATTTAAGCAGGAAACCCACTGGTCCGACACTCTCCGACACGTCACCTTCCGTCAAGGCTCCGACACCTTCCGACAAAATTACTTTGCATGATTTTAAATGGACAGTAACCCACTAGTCAGACACGACACGTCACGACAACATTGCTCTCTGGGGCACCCTACAAGATTTTTGATTTTGACCAGTAAATGTACGACCGCAAAATTGACACAACCTGTTTTTCATCCAACTATGGACTCAAAATGTATGTGAAATCAACAAATGCACAATCCAAAATCTCTACTAGTAAAACAATACCGATCATTATTCACATCAGTTTAAAACGTATCTTGGTCCCTAAAGTATAACCTGGTATGGTAAAAACTTTGAATAATATTCATTGTAATTACAACCCAGTTTTTTATCGCTTGCAACCTCGTATCTTAATCCACTTTTCTCAGAGTACAATCAGAAGAGATAAGATCGCTAGCCAAACTACTTCAATCCACACCGTTTCTCAGAGGTTATCATTTCAGTATGTTTCAATTCTGAAATCCAATATTTAGTTTAATTTGGATCCTAGAGAACTTTGTATTCATTTTTCCGTATACAATTTCGTTACGAAAAAAAATTGTTTGTATTAAAATGCATTTGAATAGTTATTGTTTAATGTTGTTTGTCGTACGAAAATAGGTTAAGGACTGGTGGTCTCACTTCTTTAATTAAGACTTTTATATTTAATTTTATAACATTTACACTTCACCATTATGAAATTAATTTTCTAATCACAGATTAAGTACACCAAATGTGTCAATTGAAAACGCGACGAAATAAGAAGACACCATTCTATTCAAATCACATGTAAACTGAACCTGTAAAATGTATGCATGTTTACAGAATTAAAAATTTTTATGGTCGCAGCTGCTGGTTAAGGTACGGTTACACCAGAGCGAACAGGAGCGAACGAGCAGTAACGAATGCGAAATTCTCTTCGGTGTGACCGGTGCAGCGAACACCAATCGGCCGTGTGTGGCAGTGCTCGGTAGTTGCATATTCGCGTTCGCACCTGCTCCATCCATTGTCGGTTTCAGCGCGAACGATCAAAGGAAATTCGCGTTCACTCGAGTTCGGTGCTCGCTTCAGTGTGACCACATCGGAGTGATCGGAGTGAGTCTGGTCCTTGCCGGTGTCTGGATTACTGCTATCAACAAGTTGTTTAAGTCAACGGTGGATTTTTTAGTTGTACTACAATTAATTATTCCTATTTTGTTTAAATATTGAATGGACTGATGAGAACATGTTGGAGCTGATTGAAGAATACAAAGCAAGGCCAGTGTTATGGGATCCTAGTAGTGCTGATTATAAACTGTTAAATAAAAAATTTACCGTTTTAAAATTATTTTTATTAAACAGTTAGTCTATTTAAAAACTGCAAGGTGAGACAATGCACAGTGACGATTCAGGGATTATCGTTGCCATGCAGTTCTTGTGGTGGCGGAGCACAAGCGAATGACGTTTCAATCAAGACACTTCGTGTGTGTTCACTCTGGTGTGACTACTCCCATTCTCAGGTGTTCGCGAATGCTAGCGAACTACAGCGAACACCAGTGAACGCTCGGTTCGCTCCTGTTCGCTCTGGTGTAACCGTACCTTTTAGGGTAAGGTAGGTTGGTTTTAGTATTATCACCCCGGCTCCGTGTCTCTATGCTCGCTTGTCCCTTTATAGTTTATCCTACATAGACATACATCGTCCATTAACGTACAAGCTGATTATCCACACACGTATCTCTTCGTTATACATTATGTAGACATGTAAATGAAGTTGTATTTGTCTGAACAATTTACTGTACCATAAATCCACTTCCTACTAATTTGGTACCTCAGGCGGGCGTATCTCAGAGCGATGGTCAGCAGTAATATGACCCTGGGTCAGCATGGGATACCTGGGAGTCTGCGCGCGCTGCTCATCATGGAGTAGATGCTGATACTCCAGCCTCTGCAGAGTTGGCTCCCCAGTCCAGCCCTGCGCAGCAAAACATCAAGTACACCATAACAAGTCAAACCCCACCCACTGCTCATATCCCAAGATTACGAAAATGTATCATTGACTATTAGCACGGTGGTTCTACTATAGTGCGTTCACACAGCCGTGGCACCTGAGGGATTAGGAGGCCCCAAGGGTTTCCATGGGGTGTCCTAATCCGTCAGGTGCCACGGCTGTCTGAACGGAGTATAAGCTCTAGGTGTGAAATTAGAGGACGTTTAAAACGTTTAGCTTCTAAATAGCTTTAAAATTAAACAATAAATACAAACCTTAACTAACAAGACAAATAAATGATGACACCAACCATTATAATATTTTCAGCCCCTTCAAGCTCCCCAGACATGCAACTTTGAAAAACGTAGATTTCAAAAGAAAGTAACTTTGTAACAAAGAGTTTTTACAAGTGTACTGATTGTTTACAGCATTAATTTTACTCCACTAAATCATTTTTTAAGTTGTTTTAAGTCGTTATTAAAATTTCAAGGGTTTAAATGCTTTCTTAATAGGTTTTGGTTTAAACAAATAAATGGACGATATAGCTTCAAATTAATTCAAAGAAAAACTATTTCACAATGAATTTGTAAATTACTCTAAAAAACACATGGTACTGTAGATGATAACAAAGCATTTTATATCATTTACAAATTGCAGGACAGTAGGCCTAATGTTTCATCCCTTCATGATAATATAACTAAAAACACATTTTCATAATTTATTGTATCACTAACCTAATATTACAATATGAAAATGTGTTTTAAGTCCTACTTAAAAAGCTTTAATTCTTCCAAAGCTGTGTGTGTTTTCAACGCCACTGCCACTTTTGAGAATTTTTTTACGAGAAAACTTCTCATGTTACTAAATCCAATCTTGTTTTAACGCTAAGATTGATGGGTGTTATGTTTACAAAATAGTATGCTAATAACAGTAGTTTGTCTTTAATTTTAACCCATATAATTTAAGTTCCTGTTGTGTGGTAGAGAGTACTGAAACTGCAACTTCCTCGATACAGCGTTGCTTTCGCTTTTTCGATGGCTTTCCATATACAAGTTTCGAAGACAAAAATAACCAGACCCATTGAGTTATAATTTAGAATATAGATTTAGTTCCTACAATGACAGAAAAACTCTTCACATCTAACTTCGAAGGCCCAAGGACATAGTTGCAATTTCTCCCACAAGATAGCACCAGACTCCATTAATATTGAGTCAAAAGAATGCAATAACGTAAATAAAGAAGGAAAGAGGGGTACGAATTTTATTCCCATCGAAAAATAAAAGTACATAATGAGATTGAAGTAAGCGTGTCTGGTTACAGTTCCAAAATGCAAAACTGTCATTCAACCTGTGACTTAGATAAAGGTGACGAATCTTTGTAGGCGTATAATTTGGAGATGATACGGTTAGTCTCGTACTCGTCCTTCGACAGTACAACTATTCAAAGTCACAGTGGTTCAGTTTGGTTGCAAATAACAGTTAAATGAACATCACAAAATTTATCATTTGTTTCGAAAATATTTTTTGAGGGACCTAGGTGGCGTTTAAAAGGATCGATTTTCCTAGAGATGGAAGATCTTTTATCTTCAAAGGACGATGGTTCCTAATATAAGAAAATGATGCTACAAAGTTAGTAGTTCATTGCTATCTCTCAGCCATCAGTGTATGCAATGTCTCAAGCATTCACAGATTTACACTTTAAGATCCTTGAATGTGAAAATTGAATTTATAAATGATTTTTGAGTTATCAATAATTAAAGGTGAGCTCTAAGTTAGACGTGCGAAAAGATACCTAAGACTAAGTGAAAGCTACCTTCAGGCCAAATGCAAAGCTAAGTATAAAGCTTCGCGAGTGTACAGCGAATAAGTTTAAGCCGTTGACTTCATATTACTTGCCCATTTATACACAGACAAATTTTTTAATTCAACATTTTTTATATAGTAGGGTTTAAAAATATCCCGTTAAAGTTTCAGTTCTCTAACGTAGTCTAATGTTTGTATAAGTTCGACAATTATCTTTGTATAACAATTTATTTTTTGTTATTACCTGATTTGTTTAGGTACTGCCTTGTGGTGTTGGCACTTATTGTTGAATAGTTTTTGATTAAAGAATACAGCTTGAGTTATAAAAACACAAGCCAAACTTCTTAATGGCAGTTTTACTGAAGTTTGAGAAATAGATTTTAATATTGAACAAAAAGTGACATGTTTGTGGGATATTACTTTTGGTAAAGTTACAGAAGCAGTTAGAACATTTCAGACTGCTTACCTATGAGTTGAGCCACTAAATAATCAAACGATTATTGAGGGTGCAGAAAAACATGTTGCTACAAACTAGACTAGTGAGGTAAAAACAAACTCTAGAGTAACAGGGAATTAACAAGAACCACAAAGATAAACAAGACTAAATTCCACAAAAGTCGCCTTGTCTATAATCTTCATAATCGTGTACATCTTTAAAAAAAAACTAATTCCACTGTTCTTTTTCTTTTATTATTTTTAAACAGTTGTTTTTAAATTAGTCTTCAATTTTTTCTACAAATGTTAGATATCTTAGACATCCACAGAATCAATTTAAAACCAACTTTACAATTGTCCAGTGTTTCATAAGGTTTGATTCATAAAACCAAAAGTGGGGGGACACCCTGTATATGCACGAGTGTTGAATAGATCACTTACAAGAACCGCGTGAAAGAACTAAATATTGAGCTAAATGAGTTTCATAGATTGAACCAAATGTAACCATTTTCTGACAAACAAATGGGGTAAAAAGTTCTAACTGATTGTGTTACATAACTTATGGCGAGGTAAGCGAATGCAACAAACTGAATAAGGTAATGTTTGCCGTGGGATATGCAATATTCAGGAAGGTAATTTGGCGTGAGAATTTACGTGGAATTATAATTCGTTCGTTTGAAGTGTAAAACTAACCTATTCGGAAGAAAATTCCACTATTATTAATATAATAGGGGCATGATAATACTAGCCTGCGTTTTAAAATTCATAAAACTATTCTCGCATTGGCAAAGAACGTTTTTTTATTATCTTAAAGTGGCTTGCGTTTAATAAGGGTTGTATATTGATCTAAAACAGAATACAACTAGAGATGCTCTGAAACTACACTATTCAATACATATTCCACTTTGGGCCTACAATATAAACCCTAGTATTGTTTTTTTAAAAATATTCAGACTATTGGTACTTTTTCTTAAAGCTTTTAAGTTCGAGATCTTCACTGCACGATTGAACTGGCAAATACCGAGAAGTGTCACACATAAGGGAAAATCTGTCGTGCGGTTCCAAGACGTAAAATAATTTATTTGCAACCCTCTTTACCATCCAAGTGTTTTATGTACACGTTTAAATTTTAAAGAAACTCCTGTTAGAACACTAAGCAGGAGGAACATTCTTAGTTTATCTCCATTGTGTAGTCTTGAAAGGCTTGATATTGAAAGAAATGCTACTTGATTGTATAATAGTTATAATAGCATAATACTGTAGTTGGTTGACCAACCTGTAAGTGCACAAAATAGCTAATTAGTAAATAAAACTATTCAGATCATTGCCAAAATCATGGAACAAAGTAGCTTGTATTTACATTTCTTCTTCAATTATAACCACCTGTTTAAAAACGAGCCATGTTAATTTTACACACCAAAATTGTCTCAACAAAATATACAAAAGATTGTTGAAATGTAAGTAACTGAGATTCATGCTTCTAGAAATGGCTCTAAGTTTCGATTTATCCATCACAGGAGATACAATATAGTAGTGACACGCCATCGGGATAGCGGATGCGTGACCAAGCCTGCCTAAAGATGGGTACTTGGGTACCTTTGTCTTAAACTGCTGATATATTTACTTTCATAACCGCAAAACTTACAGCTGCTCCTAGGTTAAGCGTTGTTTCAGGAACGATTTATAACTTTGCACAAACTCTTCAAATTTTCAGAACGGGTTGCAATAATTGATTTCCTCTGGGCACGCAAGAGTTGAACACACTGTATCAAGTTTTACCGCCAGTTTTTATTCATACCAGTTTCAAACGGGCTTAAGTGTTTGTTGGTATATTTCAATACATTATTTCCAATTTGGAACTGATATAGGATAACGCTTAACAAAATAAATACCCCCTGCCGTGGCAAATCTGTAGACTAAATGAATTTCCATTTCCCTGATTTCATTTTCAAGTAAATCTATTTCAATAACATTAGGTTCAACGAGAACCGAGGTTTGCTGCTACAGGGAGGTTAATGAAGTGTGTTTTTAGTGAAAATCAGTTAAATAGATTTGCCAAATTGTTATCAAAATATATCCATGAACTAACAATCTAATTACAGTTTACTTATCCTCCATAAAAATAACATGGGGATTTAAAATTTACAATTTTGTTGAATTTTCTCTGTAACCAATTACCGTAAAAAACATTTCAAATTATATGTTTTTTTATGATCTTCAAAATGGCTTGGAGAGAAATTGGGAAATTTTATGTTTTGAGCATCAAAAATGAGAGAATCCAATTTTTACCCCATAAACCCTCTCGATAAAACCCCGTACCCATGGTCCGATCATGCTGGTTCACGAACTCGTTTGAATACACGTAGGTTTACATATGTATATATGGATTTAAACGGATGATGTTTTTGGCCTCTGGGGACATCAAAACGAAAAAGTAAATCGGTCCCGGGTCCTTGAGGTCATGCAGGTCTTATCATGAGACCTACGGTAGTAGCTTATTCTCTTTATGGGAAAATCGCTAAACATGGGTTTAGAAATAACAAATGTGACAAGTTATAAACTTTTTATTAGCGAAACATATTTAACATAAAAAATATCTACGTATAAAAAATCTGAATCGTAATGACACTTATACAAACACTACAGAGCATTTCTAAATATCGAAGAATCTAAATGCTTTTACATATTTTTTGTTGTCATTTCTGTTTAAATATCTAAATCTGAAGACTGTCACTGTGATATGCTATAGTTGGTTACTAAATTTTGAAGTAGGCATAGAGTTTTTAATACAGGTTAAAAAGGTTATGCTAAGTAAAAATAAGTACACAATTATTAAAACGTACCAGGTGTTAAACAAGTATTATAGCCTACTTTTAACCTGTTTTAATTTTGATACGCTTGCCGTCATAAACAAACAAATCCTATCTTGTGACTAGTTACTAATAGGAACGTATTTTTTAATGAATAATATGCATACTATAAAACTGTAATCATATTTTTTATATACAGGGGATATGTGAAACAATTAAGGAACACGTGGAAATGGATCATGGTTGTTCGATTAATTGTGAGTGAGAGGGGGTGAGTGGCTACAATTTGTAACTTAATAAATGAACTGGTTCCCAGTAATACTACAACTGAAATTATTGTAGCTTATATTCATTTGCAAATGACATAATATTGGTAACAAATATATAAATATATTCCTCGTTTCCTTAGCAATCGAGTAAATCTTTAACAAAATCCTTTTTTTGTAATAGGTGATACATTATTCTTTGTTTCAACTGTATTGTTTATTAAAAGCAAGTTGATGATGTTAAAAGATTGTTGTGGACGTTTTAAATCACTCAATGTTTAGATATCTTGAATCCAAGCTCGTTTTCAGGTGACAGGGTATAATTAAGAATTAAGATGAAAGAATAATCAAACAACACGAGGAAACACGATTTCAAAAAGACAAATTTCAGGGAATTTAATAAAAAAAGCAAATGAAAAGGAAAAAATAGAAGCAAGATAAATGACCAATGAACACTGGCAATGCGCGCTCAACAGACATTTGCATAATACGAGAACTTGAAGTATAATAGTTTTGTTGTTTGTTTTTTTTTATTTTTTATTTAGCTGTTTTAAACGTTGGTTGTTTTCAGATATCGTGTTTTCTGGTTCTGCCAGATATGTTCAGGTCTACTAATCTGATGTTCTGGGTTCCTTCTCACCTGAAGAAAGGGTCAGATTCCAGATCCCAAAACGTGGTGAAATTTGTGTATTACTAAATTTTTTTTTAGAGATGAAAAATATCCACAATAATTCTTTAAATTTGTTTATGTTGCGAAAATCATGCTGTCGTCATATACAAAATGTGTTTGGACTTTATGCAATAATCTTTCAATTTGGGTGTGTTGCTAGCTAGTGGTTAGCATCTGAGACTTAACAGTGTGGGAGGGACGGGTTCAATTCCCGACATATCCACAGAACCTTAATACGTTTGTACCGCATTCCCTTGAAAGCGTATGAGCTAAACTTTGACTTTAATTAAAAATGTCACTGTTGTAGAAAAAATGATCGTATATTTATTCGTGTTAAGCTTTAAGAATAAAACAATATGTACAGGTCTACAGGAGCGGATCAAAAGTGGAGTGAATCTGCTAGGCGGGCGCAACTATAGGCGGTTAGGTTAGGTGGTTGTGATACGTTAGGCAGAAGCGACATGGCCTGCTCATGGCTTACGGTTTGGTACCAGAGAATGAAGGAAGTTAAGGCCAATGGCGCGGGGCTCCCTCCACTGGCACCCCCCGGGCCCTGGCTTGCCCCAGGGCGTCTGGGCAGTTAGCTGGCCACAGAACAAAACTTTAGAACCAACTCTAGTTAGCTGGCCACAGAACAAAACTTTAGAACCAACTCTAGTTAGCTGGGCATAGAACAAAACTTTAGAACCAACTCTAGTTAGCTGGTCTGATCACAGAACAAAACTTTAGAACCCGATTTAGCTGACCACAGAAAACTCCTTTAAAATATCAGTCTTTCTATAATTCCCCAATACATGGCAAGAACTTGACATATTTTAGTTACCTTTTTGTAGCAGCCCTTTTTATCACACATGTTTTATAAAAAACCTTTAGAATTGCCAGAAACTGTTGAATAAGCTGTAAAGAGAATGTGTCGTCATATTATAATCTTGATAAAAACTGACTCAGCACATGTAGTACATTGAAGTAAATTGAATAAAATGATTCAATTCATAATGCAATGAAATAGTTGCATACTATATTTTGATCATAAACAGCAATTCCAACACTTTGCACAGCTTTCGAAAAATTCAATGTGCCAAAATTTCAAATGAAGTTAGAAGGTAATTACACCAAAAGCAATTGAATCAAATGAAGCATTCCCCATGGTTCCTAGCAGGTTTAAGCTTACTAATCAATAGAGTTGTTCATTTTCAGAATAAAAATAAAAATATACATTTAGAAATCAGCTACACAAATCAGCTTTATTAAACTGTTTTTAAGATTAACGCGAATAAGCCTTTTCAGTTTTTATGTACAGTATGTAGAACTTTTTATACAAATTTAGTGATAGTTTAAACATCTCTGTTTGAGGTTCATTATTGTCATATAAAAGATTATATGATTGCGGACGTTTCGCCACAATTAGTAAAAAACAAGTTTTCACTAACGTGATAAACAATGTTCGTAATATTTCTCTTAGATGATACAGTTTAAGATCAATGAAAATTTCAAACCAATGAAGGGTGTAAATAAATACTAGAGTCACTCTTGAATCTATTAGACATTTGAATTATTATTTCAGTTTTCATAAGTGTAATGTTCTGTAGTCTTGAAAGATTGGTGCCAAATGTATATTTTGTAAGGTTGTTCCCTCAGTTTTATACATATAATATTAGTATTATAGTAATTCAAAATAATTTTAAAATACAGGGCTTTTTATATGTATTACTAGAAACCTAATCGACCAAGAATGAGTTTAAACAGCATTGGGTAGAGCAAATAATTCACATTTCAAACATTTTAAAGCACAAAATTATTTATCTTGAGGATTTGTAATTTGTCCTATTTAGACTGCAGTTAATTAACATTTGGTGACCAAATAATAACATACAATCAGTTGTTACGCTCTATTAAATGTCATACTTGGTCTTACGTATCAAGTATCAATAATTAGCCTATCAAGTATGAATTTGAAACTGTCATATTTCGTATAACAAGATGCATTACCCAAGCTTAAGTAAACAAGGTATATAATACGCACAACACAAACTTTATAATCTGTGGAATTATCTAACATTTGGTTGCACTCTAACAATATGTTTTAGTGTACACAATAATTATTAAATCAAAATTGTTTATAGCATAGAATTATTCTGTAATAAACAAAATAACCAATAAAATTATTTTATATTAGTTTAAAATACTGTTTAGAGAAAATATCGAATTAAATAAAACTTTTTGTTTAAACAATTTTGGGTACTTTCCTGTTAAAGGGAACATTCATTATTATTGATGATTTTATTCGATATATCGATATTTTTGTTTTCCGATCTGATCCATTACAAATTGACAACAACAACAACTAACTGATCTTGTTTAGGCTAAATAGTCTAAACTGTTATAAGCTAACCTAACATAGCCAACCAAACTTGCTGTACCATTTAAAAATTCCGTTTGGGTTTGATAATAGAAAAGGCAAGTTAAACACGGAATTTTAAATGTTACAGCAAGTTTGATTAGTTATGTTAGGTTATTTTTTTAGAGCAGTTTCATATACTGAACAATATTCGTAGTTGTCAGCTGATATGTTTCAATTTGTTAATATCGATATATCGAAAAAATCATCGGTAATAATGAATGTTCCCTTTAACAGGAAAGTACCCAATTTTGTAAAGGTTAGTAAACAGGAATCACGAAATAGTGAAAAAAAACATGAATATTAATATAACAACACCCTGGGGTTTATAATTAAACGTAAAAAATTCTAGTTTTTTTAAATTGATAAGGTTATCTTACATGTTTTATTTGTGCACAAATTATTTTATTTACCAATTAGAACGTGTTACTTTGATGGTTTTCAGTTTTCGAGACTTACCGTCATGTTCCAAAAGTCCGAGTCTTCACGGCGTTCCTCGTTCAGGAGTCGTCGCTTCTCAGCGACTAGCCTGTCTGAAACAGCGCACGTCGGTTTAGCGGCAAACATGTTAAGAAGCGCGGGAGATCGATCTTAATATCCACCCCCTGGGTAATCCTCCTTTAGCCTGCTTAGGAAATATTAATGATGACTATGTCAATTAATTAATATCGCACATATAATTTCGATTGAGTTAGAATTGCACATTTAAACAATATTTAAAACATTTAATCAAAAGTATGTACAAACTGCCCAAGCTAATAAAAGTAAGAGACCATGATACTCTTTTTTTGTCTAATTCAAGTCATAACGTATGATTTTTATAAGGGGTATCAAAAAATGTTTATAATAGGTTTATAAGCAGTAAAACATTTTTTAATCTAACATTTTTGAATCTGATATTTGTGATGTTTTGAATTTTTCGTTTTCACACACACACAATAGAACAACTCAACACAACAACACACAATAATATAAAATTTGGACATACACCTATGGTTATGAAAAGGCGGATGTAGAAGTTCTGTATATTGTATCTGTATTTTGACCATGGCAAATATTGAAAACTGAATGAAATATCTTGACATAGAAACGTATAGTATAGCTACTGGAACCAGAATGAGATCTAAAAAATCGATAAAATGGGAATCTCGTGGAGTAAAAGAATATATTTTAGGCATATACTCCTCGGGTATGGGTTATATTAACATAACCCCAACTGGTTTTTTTTGTCTAGTTACATCAGTCCCCAACATTTCATTGCTCCAGTTACATCAGCCACCAACATTTCATTGTTCCAGTTACACCAACCAGCCTACAACATTTCATTGCTCCAGTTACATCAGCCCCCAACATTTCATTGTTCCAGTTACACCTACACCAGCCTACAACAATGCATTGTTCCAGTTACACCAGCCCCCAGCATTTCATTGCTCCAGTTACATCAGCCTACACGAATTCATTGTTCCAGTTACATCAGCCCCCAACATTGCTTTGCTATAGTTACATTCTCCCCCAATATCGCTTTACTAAGCGACAACATGTCCCCCCAACATTTCTCTAACTATGTTACGTCTCCCTAAACGTTTTCCTGCCAATAAAATATCCATCCTTACCGAGTTGCTGTTTGTACTGAAGCTGTTCCTGGTAAGGACGTCGGTAGCGCACGTGGTTCTCGATAGACTTCCTGACGGGCTCGTGGAGTTGATACCTCAAGATGGGGTCACTGCGGCGGCTCGGTGCGGGCTTCGCCCCTCCTCCCCATCTGGGCAGAGATGTTTCTAGGCCCTTGAACGATTGAACCACAGTATTGTCCATGTCCAATCCAAATAATTATTGTATATTAAAATTTTGACATTTCATTTATTGTTACACTAAAAAAGACCACTATTTTTTAGCAGAATTCATCAGGAAGGTAACAATTAATAAATAAATAACAGGTTTAAACGTTAGAATAAGAAGCCCCAATTGTAATTTCAATTATCACACACATATTTTATGAAACATATTTTCAATTGGGAGATTTATTCAATTTATTGGTATGAGCAAACATTAAACACGTTGGATCTCCTCACCAACTCTTTACGCAACTAATGAGTGTAAGAGATGTGCGTGAGATGTTGCACTCTGCATCGCATGAGTTGGATCATTTACGCAACTTCTCTCTGGCCCAATGTGCATTTGTCTAAGACACTGATCATTACGCTACCAAGCCAAACACGAGAATTAACGTTTCTTTCGAATTTCCTACGATAAGATTTATCACGCAATTTCTCAAATATCGTTAATTATTTTATGTTTTTTGAGTCTGTTTAAGGTTACGCTTAGAGTATTTTTTTTGCAACTTGGAACTTCCAAATAATACGAATATCAAACTATTGACTGGACCTTCTCTACTCAAACACTTACTCTCTTTTTCTCGACGCTGACCAGGTTGAGCGGCTTTCTGCGGACGTCGTTGTTTGGGGCTCCATGTCCGGGTCTGCCCCACGGGTGGTAGGACGACAACATCGCCTGCAACTACCGCCAAGGAAGTGAGTAGTCAAAGGCTCGGGTCCATGGAGGCGTAGTCCCAGTTCTGGACCCGCTATTGTCTATGATCAACGAACCGTCGCCTTCCGTCGCTCTGATGCATCTCATATGAGTGCGATTGTTTTAAAAATTAGATTGGTATTGATCGTTCTATATTCATCGATTAAGAAAGGTTGAGTAGTCGCAATGGTTTTCCGATGATTCGATGAAGTTTATAGGTCGGAAATTTGGAGTGCTGATTTTGGATTATCAAGTTTATCACGAGGAAGTAAATCTTCAATCGCATTTCATAAAATTAAATGGATTCGTAAATGAATATATTCTAAATAGTATAAATAACTGAAATACCACGATTTTTGTTGTCGTAAAATGAGGTTAAATGGGGGTCTAGTCAGGTTTGCCTTGTGTTACAGCTACAAATCGTAATATTTCAGTTATTTTATATTAGATCTTTTTGAACTTGGAGTCGTTGGATAGGAAAATCCAAATAAAAGTGTACTTGAAATTTGTTCATAAAATCAATCATTTTGTAGTAATTTAAATATAAAAAATGCCTCAACACAATACGTGTGTTGGTTATTTATTAAAGAGATTTCTTTGTTACTTACACATGTGTTTTTGTACATTTTCCAAAGTAAAAAAGCCTAATGTTGTTAGTAAATACTCAGCACTTCCCAATTAAGGATACTATGGTGTAACAAATGTTTGTTAAACATTATTTTGTTAAACATTCCCTTGACCTAATTTAAATATTAGTATTAATGTGAAATTACTAATGTCTATGAAATGTTTAGTTATAGTATTTGCATTTAAGCAGTAATATTTTTTATAAGTACCCTGCGTTGGTCCTCCCTCTTCTCCACTGCGTCTTGTATCTTCTTCCTCTTCCAAAGTTCTGTGCCCTCTTTTATCATTACCTTCTCCTTTTCCTTCTTTAGGCGCTCCGAAGAACTGATTCCATTCTCTACCATCTTTCACCTGTACAATTCAATACAGCAACTTAAAGTTCTTAAGGTCTCTGAGAGATTGATAGGAAAATGTTACGCAATAGTCATTGCAAAATAAATAATAAACCAATAATAATTGCATTTCAGCTTAAGGACTAAAATTTTCTTCTAACATAGATGCAGTATTACAATGCTACTACATTGCATACTTTTCTGCATATGTGAAACAGGACGTGTATGTATATTTACGACCCCAGAAATTGCATAAGCAACGAAAGCCAATATGCAGACTGAAAAAGACCTTACCCCATGGTTACAGCTGTTGTTCATTCTTCTGTATGATTGTCATTTGACACGTAATGCACAGAATGTTCCCAGGCACCAAAATTCTATGGAAATTATTAGTTGTGTAGTCGTAAAAGTTCGATATGGAATGAATATAAAGAAGTAACATATTTGGATAAAAACATCAGATAAAGTTTTAGGAATCAGTTTCTGTGCGCTTACAGATTCACCAATGGTTTTAGGGTTAGGTTAGGTTAGGTTCAACAAATTATAGATTAGGTTTGTACAAATTCACCGCGTGACGACTCGGACTCCGGTCAGACACAAAATTTGGTCACCTGAATGCAACAACTGTTTCCAGTAATGGGTTAATGCGTAGCTGCGCTGGTCCCTGCGTGTGCTACATATAGTTTGAATAACGAATACATAAGCACGTAATTTTCAACATCTGAAGCAATATGCTTATGAAAAATCTTTTTACGTACTTTGATTGTTTAAGTTTGAGTTTGACTTTCCCTGAAAATCAATTGTGTACTGATAAACGCTCAATAAGGAAATGTTTATTTATTTTATGAAACCCAAACTCATCAAATCATGCACCTTGACTGTACTTTTTCTAAATGAATTACACACTTTACGTGAAATAGTTGTATAGCTTAAATAGTATAGAATCTTGATATTATAATGTATATGGTATATAACAAATTTAACTTCCCTATATTCTAAGTTATGGGTTTCGTGGTACTAACTATTTAAATTCAGACTAGATTAGGGCTTTCTTTTTGATAGATTTTTCTGGTTTCAAAAAACAACCTTTATACAGGGGTTTATCAGCAAAACTTGTAAAAAAAGTGATTCGAGATTTATAGGTGCATTTTTAATGCATATTGTAACTTCATTTTTAGACTTTATGTTAGATTAAAGGTAATTGGCAAAGATTGCCACATGAAAACAAGAATCCATTTGAGCTACAAGCGTTGGAAGAAGCATGACTTCTAAAATAGCATTTTCACTATCTTTCACAAATAGTACAAATAAAATAATGTATTTGTAACCAACTTAATGTCCCAACAGATTCACTTAGTAAGGAATTTATACTCGTGTTTAGTTTAACATAAATGATCATTTTAAGTATTCAATACCCAACAGTCGTATTAGGTTTTCGGCCTTCAATACCGACACTTATTCGAGCTACAGTTAGGTGTGTGATACACAACTGTGTGTAGGCCTATACAACTCAGCAGTCAGCGTTGTGAAAATTACACGTGCATCTGTAGATGATTTGGAAAAACTCTTTGGTTTGCTTCCATTCTACCATAAGACGTCATCACTTAACCTCGTTTCCCTACACAAGATTGTGAATTATTTTCTTGACTGTCCGGAACTACTGAGCAGCATTGTCTTCGTCGCGTTCAGAAGAACCAGATCCAGAACCATCTTCAGGAGGAAATATCACCCCACCTACTACGCCTACCATACTGGGCTACCACGAAATTATTGTTGAATTTGTATGTGGCCGTATCTTCGAGGATATGTGCCACCCCCACGAGATATTTGTATGCGTAATATTGGTACGCATACAAATTTTGCACGCTAGATCAGGCACCTAATCTGAGAAAGTGAGTTAAAATAGTCCATATGGATCGAGTTTAAACACTTGATGATGGAGGACGGCCATCTGTATTTTTATAACAAAGCTAGACATCGATTATAAATAAAATGGATGAAGATCAATGGTCACGGACGACTATTAGCTGACAGCTAGATGTATTGTAGCCAATTACTGTTTCATTTCAACTCCCCAGCTGAAATCTTATCTACATGAACAGCCTAGATTGTTCTTCTTGATGTTACAATTCACTCGTAATCGTTACAGTACGTTCGAGTTATATGCAGATGGATAAGGTACCATAGGTTCTGCTAACAGTTATGAAGGACCTGCTGGTATTTATTGACTGAGACTACAAGGCGAGTTTGGTTTTGATTTGTCGGTGAAACCAATATATTTCACAACAAATCAAAATTCACCTAGATTTTTTTTTAAATATTGACATTTGCAGAGACACACTTAGCTTAAAGGATTTTCATTTCGAATTAACAACCTTATGAAATAAATCTTTTGGATTAGGTATGTGCTAAAATGATCAAAGCTTAGACAGTAACAGTATGCAAGCACTCAGGGGGAGGAGCGGGCGATGCGGCAACCTGTTGATGCTGCGGTTCTAATTGGGGACGTGTGAGTAGCGGAACAGTCAACGGGCAATAGTCACGCGTCTACAGGTGAGCTTACCTGAGGAGTGGCCGGGTCGAGGCCCAAGCCGCTACTACGGAGACTGTGTGTTGGGTCGATACTGCGATACCCATCTCGTGACCCGTCGCATTCGGAAGCTACGATGAAAGAGGGATTTATGACGGGCACGAAACAGGGGACCTCGGCATCGGCACGCAGAGACGTCGTTGTAACAGGACCAGGGTTATAACCCAAATTTCAGCAGAAAGTTCACGTCGTAACGGTAAATGACGAACGGCATTCCGTGATTGGCACAAGCAATATCTTTCAAATATAAAAACTTTTAAACATTTTTGTGACAGCTTAAGAATTTAACTCCGTAAGCCTATGAGTTTCTGTGTGCTAAAAGTACCGTACTTCATCATCCTGAAATCATCATTACCATTTTCTTTGAAACTAATTAATGGTTACAAAGACATAAATAAGACAGACGCAATTATAAGTAGACGAAATCTTACATGTTCGACTACTTTATTAATATTATCAAACGTTAATATAGAGGAAGTGCTTCGTAGAGATGATGTCTCAAGAGGACCCGTTTCTTGGATGTACTGTTATTATAGAGGACGTGCTCTGTAGATATGATGTCTGATGAGGACCAGTACTTGAACCTGTTGCCATAGGTAGTGCTCTGTAGATATGGTATTTGAGGAGGACCGGCGCTATGTGGTTCTGTCAACGAAACGAACGTCGTCAACGAAACGAACGTCCGAAAGTTTGACACAAAAGGCCTATATAGGGTTAAGTTTTGCTGCTCAGCATTGGCACTCATCCATGCTAAAAGGGCCTAGTGACACCATGAGTTGCTGTGGCAACTGAGAGTATAATGCCTCCAGTGAGCATACAAGGATTGTGGACACTGTGAAGATGGCAATACTCCAATTCAGACGTAATCTATAAAGAGCACGTCCTCTATACAGGGCGTCACAAAAATCCGGAACTGGCTATAGTTAATCATATTCTACATACAAAAATAAATCGAAAATGTACCATAACATTTTTTCTATTTCAACTTCGTTTAGCCGCTATCCGCCATTTCATTTTTTTCACTTAAACATTTCTATTTCCGTAATGGATTAATGTATCAAGTTAACATTTTGTATGGAGCTTTACAGGATACATGTCTAAAATTCACAAAAAAAAATATTTTTTCCGATGTTTATTTTCAAAATGGCGGCCACTTTAAATTTGTAAATTTAAATTACAAAAAATTACTGAATTTATGAAAAAATGTCAGGAATACTTTAATTCCCTATCCAACGGTATCAAGTTAAAAAAAAAAAACTTAAAAGAAATATTTTGATTTTTAGTTGTGAAATGGGACAAACCTGACTAGTTTAACCTCATTTTACAACTAAAAATCGTAATATTTCAGCTATTTCTAATTTGATATTTTTGAACTTGATACCGTTGGATAGGGAATTAAGATTTCTAAAAAAAAGTGTTCTTGACATTTTTTCATAAGTTCAGCCATTTGTTAGAATTTTAAGTTCAATAGTTTAAAGTGGCCCACATTTTTAAAATAAACGTCTACTCTCTCTACTCTCTAAGCTCAATGCACTTAGGGCATGTACGCCAAAGGATATGCTGACAACATTGTTTTCCTAATAAGAGAAACATTTATGAACCCTTGCCTGGAACTCATGCAGAGGGCATTGTCCATAGTGGAAAGATGGTGTAACCAGGTAGGTCTGAGGGTCAATCCAATGAAGACTGTAATGGTACCATTTACAAAGATAATTTTTGACATTGCTCTTTGTACCATTTCTCTTCGGTACCTAATTAGATCCAGGTTAAGAGGGAGTTTAAGTACCTAGGAATAAGGCTGGACGACAAGCTCACCTGGAACAGCCATTTGGCACATGTAACGGTGGCACACTTATGTTGATGAGACACCGAATGGTCATTAGATACCCTCCATTTTGCAACCTTTGTTGCCACATAATTTCTAGCCAAAGTTATGTCCAAAACCTCTTCCCTTGGCACCGCTAAGATTAAATTCAGCTATAAAGCTTAACAAGCTCTCACCTCTCTCGTTGACGTTGCTGCTCCCCCAGGTCAGGTGATGGGCGTTGGTGTCGCAGCCCAACAACAGTTGTCTCCTTTCCTTGACTCCGTATTCTACCACCATCCTCATTTCTCTGGTCGGTGGTGGTTCCCGGGAGTCATACGGCAGGTATACGGAAGCAACTAGGATTCTGATGTCACCGTCAGCCATCTGCCCGTATACCTCTGTCACAGCAAAATCCCTAGAAAAGAGATTAGTGACTTTAAGTGTCTTAATATTTCTACTGACAAATATGCAAGCTCTAGGTTCATCACTGTCAGTATCATATATCAGCTCACCTTTTGCAGTGCTCATCCCCATGATTCTGCCTCCTGCGGTACATGGCTCCTGAATCAGAGCCACGCCTATGCGGTTGGCAAAGATCTTCTGGCAAAACGTAGCTGTAGCCACCCTGCTGTGCTGTAGATTGATCTAGAGCACCGCAACCATCCTCTACTTGTGGGGATCCTTGCTCCCATGCAACTTGAAGGTAACCCTCTCGCAAGAGACTTAAGCTTCTGCAGGGAGTTTTCGTCAACTATCATAACCAGGAATTGTCCGTCAGGGTTTGAGTTTCCTTCAAAAACTGCCCAGTGGTCCGTGTCAAGGTCGTTCTGCAGACCTAGCTAGCATCACATCCTTCTTGGTCATTGCCCCCGTTGAAGTGGGAACAAACCTTGAGACCTTCACAGCTTTCACAAGGTTTTTGGCTGGGGCAAGCTGGAGCGGGATTGACCAGCCAATCCTTTGAGGCTGTGTTAGCACAACCTACCACCAAGGCTCCGCCTTCAAGATGGCAGCTGCTTTTCCTGACATCTTTTTCACGAATTGCACGCCTGGACAGCTCCTCCTTGATTTTGTTGGCTTCTGCCTTCATCAGCTTCATGTCCGGATGTTCAGATCTATTCCCTCTCCCACTTTTGTCCTTGTCTTCTTCTTCTTCTCGCCCCCAGCATCCTCAGGTGTCAGGTGCTTTAGCCCCCTCATTCAACCTTTCTTCCTGGAAGCTTCAGTAAAGTCAGCTTTGGGGGTGCCGCCCTCCCCCTGCTTTTTCCCAGCATCCTAGTTCCTGGAGAAACCAGCTTCGCTGGGAGTCTGACTGATCGCTGATCACTGATCAAAGTGCCGGTCACACTAATCTTGCGCATCAACAATGGTTTGGTTGATTTTTTCAACAATATCCATATTGTTCCCACGAGTACCGGGTATCAAAAGTTCTACCTCCCAAGTGACCTGATTAGAGAGGTAAGGGTTACATACAACTGGGTTCCCCAGGTTCCCAGCAGGCGCTGTTTAAGACACTGAATAATGGGCCCCCAGTGCCACGAGATCTCAGGATGGATCGCATAACAACTTAGTCTAGGGCCCCTGAAATGGAGTTGAAGAAAGAAGAATAAAAGGAAAGACGAAAGATTTTGAGGATCAACTCAGAGATAAGAAGGAAACTTGGCTCCAGAGAAAGTTGGGAGCAAAAAGAGAAGGATCTCCCAGCCCTTATTAGTCACCTTCTACAACAAGCCGGAGATGGGGTGAGGTTGCGGTCCTATTCTAGCCCAGAAACCGCAAGAGTCGTCCACCACATTCCTTGATATTAAAATGACATGATTCAGGCTTTTAATTTTATCTTAAGGAGAAGAGAGAAAATGCTTTTCAAACACATGGTGGCCCGCCTGTAGTGTGAGACTCCTGAATTTATCCAACTACTCACTAAAAACATCCTCTACTCTATTGGACATAGACTTTGGTTTGATTGTCATATTATTTTAAATCAGGTCAACATGTGTTCCCTCCTTAATAAGGCTCGCCCCGTTCCTTCCTAGTTAATTTATGAGCTTCTTGGCAAGGAGAATGCCCTGGACAAACTATGACACAATGTTTGAACTTTTCTCATCCTTCCGGAACCTTGTAGGATGACAGTGTTCTACATATAATGTCGAGCCTCCAGGCAGGGTCTCTCTTAATGTGGGCAATGAATAAAAGTGTGATCCGTATCGTTGGGAGTGTCCAGGCAGTAGATGCAATTGGGTGACGCGGCCTTGCCTATCCTGAGCAGGTTCAAACGAAAATAGCCGTAACCCATCAGATATTTAGTGAGGTAATAGTTTACCTTCTCGCACAATATTCTACAGTACCGCAGATTAAACCAAGGTTGGACTTGTCTCCTGGTCCAGCTTCCCCTCTGCTTTTGCCTGGTTCTCCCCACGCTGCTGATAGAATACCTTCCTCTTCGCCGCCAAAAGTTTCATGGGGATGTCTACAGGGATCGCCAGATCAGCAGGTTCAGACATTGTAGGTGGCTGCTACCCTGAATGTTGCCTGACGCTGTACACGGGCGAGCCCTCATTGTTGAGTGTGCCTGCCCACACTTTTGTTAACCATTTTGCATTTTATACTCATTATTTGATCTAAATCTGTTGACAAAGCCACCCTCATAATCGTTTATTATGGTTATGTCTATCACTTGTTTAATTATGGTGCAATCTTCAGGGGAAATTTATATAAGAGATTGTAAATATGCCAAATGAATTATGTTTAATTGTTGACTTGACACAATTCATGGATACAAGTGTACTGTTTGAATAAAGGATTTTTTTTTATTTGATTTGATTTGACTTCCACACCGTACACGAGTACGCGGACTGGACCATATACATGAAAAGCCATCTACGACTGGACGGAGGAAAGAAACCACCTTAGCTTACTATCCACCATGACCACAAGGTACTTGGCAGTAGAAACGTTCCGGATTTTGATGTCCCCACCCATAACAGCAAGAAGGTGTTATTCGGTTCTTAGCCAGAATCAAAACCTCTGTTTTTCTCAGAGCGAGCGAGAGACTAGTCTGCCATCCATGTGTTGATGGTACGCATTACTTGGTTCAGTTTTAGCTGGGCCAGCTCAAAGCTATGTACAGAGCCGAGAGGTTATTGGCGTACCCAACTAAAACGGTTTCCTCTCGGGTACTTTAGACTACAGGAGTTTTGAAGCCGGGTTTCGATCTTACTCTCTTCCTCAAGAGCAAAATTCCTGAAGCAGCAATCCCGATCTCTCCGATAGCAACTTTGGCTTAAGGAGTTTCTTCCACATCTCCTCTGGTGGAAGGTGAACTTGAAACATGCCATACACTCTGAAACGCCGAAACTTCTGACTGCTTGGGAATCAAGCTCGCCATGCTACCTGAAGATGATAATTCCATAAAAAATTGAGCCAGTGCATCGTGCGGCTAGGTACAGTCCGAAATAACCAGAAAAGGATTTCCCCTGAGCTTGAGCTATTGGTATTTTTTTCATTCTTGTTTGGTGTTTCTCTTTTCGTCTGGAATGGGCAAGAGATATTTCAACCAATCCAGTATGAAATAAGTTTTAAGTACCTACCTATTTTCAGTTAAAATTGGACTGTTTTAAGGCTACTTTTAAGACCTGACTGAATATAAGATATACCTATTGAATGCAGGTAACACCCCATATTTAATACAAAAAAATCCAACACAGGGGGTAAGCATGGGGGTTGGGGGTATGCTGATGATTTAATAAATAAATATAATGTTAATGTTTAGCTAACTACACAATGATCAATATAAATAAGAAATTTAATATTGTCATAACTATATCATCCAAAATGATTCTTCGGTACGGTATCCAAAAAAATTTTTTTTTATGTTTGGCTTGCTTTTGTATTTTTAAATGACGATCTATATATGTATAACCGGTAATTGTTTGTAATCTCAAAAACTGCATGCAAATAAAAGTTATAAAATGCCATGCTATAAAACAAGTACAGCAAGTACAGTACTTTCACCTTATTTGAGTTTGGTGACAAATTTCTGGTAACAAGTTGAGTGTTTAGTTCATTGTTGTCAAGTGTGTATGTCTCATCACCTATCAATAATCCTTGTCAGAAAGTCAATACCTATCTTATCTATAGACTGAAGGTTAATAAATACCAAATTCTACACAAGTTGAGTTCATTTCCTGACTTTCATCATTCAAAACCATGGGTATGTTATAACTTGTATCAAGTTTCTATTTATAATTTTCCTTTACCTAAAAAAGGGCATGTAATTTATTTAAGATTTTCAGTAACTTAACAAGTAGGTTACTAAAAGAAGATTAATACTTCTAACTTTCAAAATGTATTTGAATTATCGTTATCTTAGCACAGTTTAACAATTAATATATATTATATAATGTAAAAACATTATCAATCGGAAGGTGGAATGCAACATAACAAAAACAACGGTCAAGGAGTTTCGTATTTTAAGCTTTTAAAAATAGTTATGTGACCAACCAAAGGGCATAGTTTTTCACCTTTCAATGAACTTTTAAAACACATTATGATAATAAGGCACTTTCAAGAAATATTTTTTGATTAATGCAAAACTAAATAAGCTTTTTGATATTTCCTAAGAAAATAAGAAAAAAGTAATTAAAATCCATTATTGTAAAACCTTCACCTTATTTTAGTAAAAAAGTAATGTTACAGTATATTACAGTATGTAGTGCGACTATTTTGAATTTTTAGTTTTTGTTATCAAATTACTTGTGAAAAATAAGTTGATTAAAGGTTTTATATAAATTGATGGGTTCAATATATGACAAAGGTAGATTTTTTTAAACATTAAACTTCTTTTGATGTATGTTCTTAACATATAACTTATCAATCACATAAATGTTCAATCAATTTAAATTTTTCCCCTAAATTAAATTTCTTTTAATCTGTAACAACAAATGTGAAATATGTATTTAGTATCTTGATTTTATTTACTTTTTATAAAATCTTAAATGAAAGTTAGTTGTCAAAAAATCTTCACTTTGTTAGAGGTAACTTTACATAGGCCTACATTTTTTCTATTTCACTTTTTTCAGTCTGTACATATTCTAAGAGTACAGATCTCTGTATTTTCTATTATTGAGTCTAGACTAAGAGTGAAACTAAAATGTTTCCAAAGGTATCACACACAAATATCACTGTTAATCTATATTTACCATTACAAATACACATTAACAAAGAATAATTTTAGGTACAATGTGTCTCTTATTCATCAACTGTCTCTGTTCAATACAAACACAAGTATTTTTTACCATCTTAGTTTCAAGAACTTAATTTAAGTATTACCTTTGTAGTACCTTTGTTGTTGTTGCCGCCTGAATTCTTGTAGGTAAGAAGATGTCTGTGTCGTCCTATGCATTTCACCATGTGTGGCATCTTCAGGGGTCTTCTTGTGAATATATTTTCTTATCACCAACAATATAGTGTATATTTACAATAAATTTACACATACGCGCAGTCACTAGTATCGTGGTCGACAGATACAACGGCAGAGTCACAGCTTTAGGTCTTTCTTTCTCCGTTTCATTTCTTGGACTGGGTGTGTTGGTATTTGAGCCATTCAACTGTTGAGGATAGTTTGGACTTTCCTAGTTTATGGTTTGGCGGATGCTTTGATTACTTTAGTATTGCCAGTTTATTGCTGTGTTTCCAGTTTTGTCCGTTTCAATGTTGCATATTAAATAAAAAAAAAAAAAATAGAGCTCTCCTTTTTGTTAATGAGGTTGTTCAATTATTTTGTATTTACATGTTTGTATATTTGATAGCGATTTTGAACTTTTGCTGATGGTTTCAAATGGGTTTTGTTCAGAGTCGTGAGGGGATCGGGAAAGGTTATTGTGAAAGTTGGATTTTTTTTATGTGTTTGGCTACCTTTGATGTAGGGTTGTTATAATACAAAATCCACTCAAAACCATGTTGATTGAGAGAATTAGAGTCTTAAATCTTCATAAAACATAGATGTGTACTATATAGTTTTAACATACATATACAGTACTTAAAACAAAAGTTTTCATCGTAGGAGAAAACTACGGATGGTTCCAGTGGAAGCCCCCTCAGCAATGTAGAGGCCAGTACACTTGGCGCAAGAACGCTCCGGGATTCATCCCACCTCGCGCCCTCCCTATAGGCCGAGACAAGGATGGGTCTAAGCTGTATGCCGGGAGAGCCCTACACCAGGGAGACCTCTTGCCAGCCAAGGTGAGGGCAGATGGCAATAAGGCGTATGTCCCGTACGGGGGATCCGAGATTGAAGTGCATCAGTTTGAGGTGAGCAACTAAAACATTAATAATGAACAGTGTTAATTGTTATGTTTGATGGCCACAATTTATATTTAAGTGTTTTAAATGTTAAGGAACAACTGAAAGTTACCCTTTTTATTTTCCAATGTATAATGCTAATTTTATACATCAAATAATTTTTAAAAAGAAAAAAAGTTACTGAAAATAAACTTTTCTGTTGGTTATTTATTTGTTATTTTTAATATCAAACTTTTTTTGGGGGAGCGAGCTGGGGTAGTGGTTGGAGCGCGGGACTTCAGTCCCTGAGGTCCCGGGTTCGATCTCCACCAAGTCACCAATGGATTTTATCTAAGTGATAATGCCGCAACCCCTAGGTCTAGCCTGAAGTAATGTGAAAAACAATCCCAGGCTCGTGCCTAGCGTCCTAGGACAAAAAAATATCAAACTTTTACAATTAAGATGGGAACTGAATACTAAACAGGGTTTTGAAAATACCTTGTAGGTAACTTATGTTCTAAAATACAAACCAACAAAATTTGGTACATCCTTTTAGGATAAAATTTAACTTTTTGACGTATACCATAGTTCCTACGTGTTATTTGTTTGAGGTAGCCTTGAGTAAAAAAAAATAATTTCTCATTTGAAATTTACCATTACCAAATCCTTGATTTTAGCCCATCTCTGGATAATCGCGACAATTACTTTTACACATATATATAAATATATATTCATATTTACACTATTTACATTGAAGTTTATTTCACAAAATTAAAATTATATATATATCACATCAATTATAAGAACAATAAGTTGATTAAGGGGGACAACTTAACTTATATCATATCAATTGACAAGTTCCATTCCTAACCCTGACACACTCACAAATCATATGGGTTTAGACTATTTTCCCAAAAGCGGTACCTTCTCTATACCTCCTTCAAAAATACCTCAGGCGTAGACAATAAAATACAATATCAATAAGAATACTTAATGTGATGTTAAAAAATACATTTTTAAAATTAAATTTATATGTTTGTTACTTTAAGAAGTGATCTTTCAATCGATTCTGTCTCAGTTTACAAAAATTTTTTAACAGTTACTTTACTATAGCTCGGCCGCTTAGAAAGCGACCTCCTCCAGCATTGGTTTAGCATTAGCGTGCAGGTCGTTTTCTAAGCGGCCGAACTATAATTAAACTAATTAACAATGGTTGACATTCAAAAACGTATAATAAGCTAGAGGTTTTCTATTTAAAACTTCTATTATTGACCGAATGAGAGATCTTTGGAGCAGTTTTTCCACCTAGTTGTACCATAGATAAAAGGAATGTAGACACTGTCTACTTCTTTTAATCTATGGTTGTACTATGCTTGGTTATTCTTGTGGAGGTATCTATAAAGATGATCAGCTGTTTTTGGTGTCATTTCGGGATTAAAGATGAAGTAAATACTATTGCCATCTGTACAAGACTTTCTTTTCTAGTGTTAGTGTTAAAACCGTTTTTACCCATTGCACTGCACATGTATGAGTGTAAGGTGTGCTTGTTACGTTTTCGTTTGAGAGTGAAAATTTAAAAACGTACGTTTTCATGTCCCTGGCCTTTTACTTCGTAGATACTGGATTTGTAGTTTATTATTATGTGTTTTAATATTTTTTGGGACGGGGGCAACATGTTACACACATTTATTTGGTTTTAAATAGGTTCTTGGTATTTTTTTCGTATTTTTAAAGTCTCGAAATTCACGACCATGACGTGTCCCTAGGGTACATTTTCCAACTTCCACGCTGTTTTTAGACTAATTATTCATGCCGAAATATATAAAGCCATATTTTTATATCATCAATGGTTATTAAACTTACAAAAAAAGGAGCATATTATAATTTTATTGTCATTGCAGACTGACTACCATGACAAAATAAGTCTGTCCCTCGATTTGGTGTCACGACCATTTGGGAAAAATTTTGAACTTTGGAGCACGACAGTGGCAAGCCTGGCGTCGATGGAGTCAGTTGGTTTTAGAGACTATTTCGGGGTGTACGTCAGGATTGAAGTGCCGGTCGTTTTGAGTTGAAAGGAGGAATTACAAGATTAATAAAGGAAAGATTGTGTTTTTTGTAATTTTGGTGTGTCCATGACCGTACGTAGTCATTCGATGAAGTAGACATGGTGTTAATTTTTGTTTATAAGATATTTCAATTGCTAGATTAACCTAGAAGTCCACTTTGTATCCTCGAACATGAGGTGCAGGGCTACCGCCAGAACAGAGCCAAATAACACGTAATTTCACGACCAAAGTTTCACGACCATCGCGGTTTTTTTCACGACCAATCCACCTTTATGGATTATAGTGTGTTTGGTCGTGACAATAACTTTAATATAACCAATTGTAAATTGAATAGTTTAGTTCAATTGAAACACATAGTTTTATTATAATTAACAGTATAATTGAAGGATTGTTTAGAAAGATTTAGATTATTCCAGACAATTCACGACCGTACCGCTTGTCCCTGACCATCACGTTTATGATTTCTATCATAAAAATTTCAAAAATTAAAATATCGTCATATTTCAATGTTTTATACACAAAAGAAGCACACCTCTATACAAACATAACGATTTTTCGGGTCTCAGGTAAGTTTTTTCGGAGTTATACAAACTTAAAAAGATTTTAATGACTTTTTTATATTTTTTGAGTTTTTTTTATTTTTTTCTTGAAATACCAAATATACCAAAAGCTCAGTGACCTTTTTATTGTATAATGTTCACTAAAGTAAATTAGTTTATAGCAAAACATAGTTATAAAAATAATATTAACTATTTTTAATATTCATTTAAAGGTCCGTTATGGTCGTGACAGGATTTTGTGTTTTTCTACTAAAGATGCTCTTTAAAAAGAAAACTACCAAAGATATTGCGTTACCATGGACATTTTATGAAACATCAAATGTTAATGAAATAAAAAAAATAATAAAAGTTTTGAAAAAAGGGGACAAAAATTTGCAAAGTGCTTTTCCTGAAAACGTACGTTTTTAAATTTTCACTCTTGACTACTTTGACACATAACAATTACACATTCACACTTATGAATGCCTGTCTTGTATCAGGTTGACACAATGAAACTTCTTATGATATTTTGATTTAAAAAATGAATGTTGCCTTAGTGTGCTATGTTTTATTGACTTCTTTATCGTTAAGATAATACAGTAACGCTTTTTTTCAAGAAATAAAAAAAAATCTTTTAGTTTTTTACTTGTGGATTGTTATAGATCCTCGCTAGCCACCACATTGCATGGCAACATTCACATGACGGTGAAATTAACAGCCAAGCGATGATTATAGGCCATACAACCAGCGGGGAGAACCTCTACATGGGCCGAGCCTTTTACGAAGGTACCATCACTCCTGGCAAGGTTAGTACATGAGAGAAGATATCAAATAATCTCAAGTATTCTATTTTGTTAGAATATAGGGTATTTTAAGACCAATACTAAGTTGTAATGCCTTTTTAGTTGGTTTACCTGCGCATCACTGAGAGTGAGGATGCAGAGGAAAAATATTTTAATTATTTAAATCTGCAGTAGTTAGAGAAAACCAATCCCACCATTACCATATAGACAGCTTATATAGATTAAAGAAAAAAATTCAACAGTGCCATGCAGTTTCATTAAAAATCTCTTTGGTTTAATTTACTTAAAATCCATTTTCATAGCCCCAGGATTGCGTTTATATGACAAATGGCTAAACGTACCTTGTTAAACAATCCTTGACATGCAGTATCCAACTGCTACATTTTTTTACATATGTTTCGACGGTTATTTAAATAGCTCCGCCATCGTTAGGCTAACAAAAGGATCCACTTGATGTAGCGTCAGAATAAATAAAAAAATTTACACCAAACATAATTTACTATAATTACTTTTATGAAACCTGCCTGATTTTTTTGCAATTATTTAATTTCAGTAGGAATAGTCGATTTAGAATAATTTTAGGTTGGCATTCAGTTGGGCATATTGATCCCATATTGAAGCATCAACTTCCATAATGTTTTTTTATTATTACTTTTCCCAGAGGCTTGTTATTTATCAGTAACTTTACTGCATTCCTCAATTTTTTTTATTGGTGGTTGGGTGGTTCAAAGTTAAATTGGACAGAGTAGTGTTGGATTCCATGTTTTGGACTGTTGTTATCCTTTTTCTGTTGATATTAAACAGTTCAATGAAGTATTCTTCCCACCTTAAAAATATTAAATTATATTTTTCCTCGTCCTCTGCCTCTTCCATTGTTGCATAAATGATAACTATTGATTGATGGTTCAGAATGTATCACAGATTCAGCTAACTTCTCATTTACTGCAAAACATACTCCTCCATAGCATCTGTTTTTCTATTGCTAGCATTCTTACATTTAAAGTGACAATTCTCCCTTTTCCAAGACCATTAATGGTCTTGGAAAAGGTACATATTATATACTTATTTCTTCTTGGTGTTTCATAACACTATGATCTTTATGAGACGAGTCTTCAATTCAACACCCGACCCCCAAATGACCAGAAGTTTGTGATCAGAATGAGTCTCCTTCTCCTAGGCCAATTGCTTTCACTGCAACTTTATAATTTGGCCTTGGTGTTACATCACCACTATCGTGTGCCTTTCTTCAGCCAAGTCCTGTGACATTTCCTTGTCGTGACACAGCCCTATCATAGTGCTCTTGTAGACTTTATGGGTGGGAGCCTGCCACAGTCACCCCCCATGTCCAGGTGCTGCCTTAGTCTGGGACTGCTTATTCGGGTTGTCCCGAACTGTGGGATACAGTGGTGCATTCTCTGTATGTGTTTCCACTTGATGGTGCCAATAAACAAAGCTGTTGAGTTGCATTCTCTTCAATTTTATGCTTAATTTACAAGTGCCAATCTAAGACTAGTTAGATAATAGCTAACTGAATATGTGTATTTTCAATATAGTATATTTTAATTCATTAACCAGTAAAAACGTGTTTTTGCAGGTCCACCCAACTCATAGATGCCTTTACATTCCATACAACGGAAAAGAAATCAGTATCAAAGAGTATGAGATTATGTTATTATTGTAAAGGCTTCAGTTAAGATGTAAGACTGTATTAAAATGCAAAATAAATCACAAAAGAGCTTTATTTATATGACCTTTCTTACAAAACAAAAATCTTCTTATTAGTCAACTTCTTTGGGTGACAATTTTAATTTGTTCCAAGAGTAAATCAGTAAAACATTAAACACAAGTATTTATATTTCTTTAATTTTGTTATGACACCTTGATCATCCTTAAAAACAACAAGACTAAACCTATAACGAGTTCAAGTACAGTTCTGATGTTTTCTAAAAATGCCCCTTTGTTGATAATTACCAGAAACAAAGTTGTTGTTTTTATTACATTTCAAGGCCTTTTTTTATATATAATCTTAGAGTTTTGAACAGAGTCAAGCATTGGCATGCAATTGAGTAAATAATCTTTAAAATTCAGAAGATGTATCAATAAGAAATCTACAGCTATTAATTTATTATATATTTTAAGCACTTTTAACACATCTACCCCTAGATGCATATGGGGAGCGAGCTGGTCTAGTGGTTAGAGCCCGGGACTTCTGTCCCAGGTTCAAATCCCACCAGATTACCAATGGATTTTATCTAAGGGATGATGCCGCAACACTCTAGGTTAAGGTATTATAAAAATAGGCTTTTCTATTGACAAATTCAAAGCCACAAAACATTTGAATAAATAACAATTAGAGGGCCCCACTCAAACTTGCAAATAATATTCACAGTTTAGTCACTGTTCTTCATGGTCATATTTTCATATTAGTTTTGACTTTGATAAGGGTCAGGGGCTGGATTGCAACAGCATTGTAGCACGCTCAGAGGCAATTGGAGCAATATAGGCTAGATATATTATAAACAACCTTTTTTAATAATATTTATGTTATTACAATTTAATCTGTATTAATTAACACAAGTAGAGGTAGAAACACTAAGATGTGGTTGGCTCCACTAAGATGATCAACAGACTCCAGCATGGTTGGATGTAATTCCAATCACAGAATAAGTTAAGATTCACTAGAATTTCAAACAAAAGGGTTTAAGATTGTAACAAGAACAAGCCATTTTTTCTAGTGAGGTAAGTTTTTGTCGTTTGTCCGCCAGATTTTAGCGTGTGAGAATTTGTTCTTTTGGGTGTTCTCAAATTTTGCGTCTACACTCACAAACCACAAATCTTGATGGATCATTAGGACGCAAAGGAAGTGATGTCAATTAGTGGTCGCCAAAAATTCTGGGAAATGTAATGGAAGAATTTTAGATAATGATTCAAACAAACATGAATGAAGTGGATTCCACCTGACTGACACTGTTTTCTATAAGTAAAGGACATCTCACAAGTGTAGCTAACCATGATTAGAACATAGTTTTTTTCTTAAATGGCATGAGTTTACAAACATTTTAATGTAATAAAAGTCATAATTTACACATAAACAGATGAGTAATGCTCATTTTAAAACATCTGTTTTAACGAATTTCCCATATAGGGAATAAGCTATTACCGTAGTACTCATGGTAAGACCTGGACGCGGGACCGATTTTTTTTTCTTCATTTTGAGGTCCCTAGAGGCCAAAAACACCATCCGTTCAAATTCATATATATATATATATTTATATATATATACTTTTGTGCCCACCCGGTTTGGCAGTCAGTGCGCTGGTAATTTACTCGGTGTGGCAGTCACCCGCCCGAAAGCCAGTCAGCTCTCCCATAAGCCAGTCAGGTATGGCTTCCCGTGCACTTTATACGTATGAAAACAGCAAACCGGTGCTGCTGCCTGTGTCGATAAGCGTAACTGCAATACCAATGCGGAGACTGTCTCATCGTGTGTTCTATCGTGGAGTAGTGTAGCCAGTACGGCACCCTACCCTACTTTGTAGCGGTAAAACCCAGCGGTCTGTAACCTTCGTTTACTCCTTGTTACTATTTGTGTTGGGATAGTGATTAACTACGTGTTAATGTTTAAACATGTTCATACTCCAAATAAATATGATGCACCTCTAATAAGGATCGTCGAATATTAATTAATTATAATTGGTTGAATCTTGATCCTACCCGTTCATCATCTCATATTTTAAGTTATTTTGATTTTTTTTACCTTCAGTTGAAATTTTAGTCAACTTCTCCTTTATACAATATTTTTTATCCTAGTATTTACAGTGTTTCCACGGACCGGGAACTATACGGATTTTCTTTATCTCGAGAAATATACGTGAATCTTGTCCGAGATACTGGAACTGTTTTTTACGCAATTGCGTAACGCGAAGGAGTAACTATTACATATGACAACGATATTATTCTATCTGATAAGAATAACCATGAAACTACACTCGAAAGATAAAATATTTTTATAATAATTTCAATTTTACAAACAAACTATTACAGGAATTATATTTTGGGACGGATGAATGATAAGGAAGCAACAAAAAGTGGTCACGAGTGCAAATACGGGGGGGGGAGGGGGGTACAATATAACGAACGCCAGAAACGATTATTTGTTTACTTTTCAGATTCCTTATCAAATCTATCTATCTCTCTCTCTCTCTCTCTCTCTCTCTCTCTCTCTCTCTCTCTCTCTCTCTCTCTCTCTCTCTCTCTCTCTCTCTCTCTCCCTCTCTAACAATGTACAGATTGTGGACTTTACGATTTAAGTTTTCCTGCAATTATTTCAGTTCAATCCCATACCTATCCTTATGGTTTCCTATCTATTATTTTTCCAAATAAATAGTAAAGCAGGTTAAACTATTTTTTATTTTATTTTTTTGAAACCAAACACTCTTTACCATCCGGTATTCTGCAGAGTCAAATGTTTAACACTGTGTTTATAAAAATTGAATGGCCACACAAATTTGTGTTTTATTATTTTTTTTACTAATAGTAACTGGGATATTTATATATACCAATAAGTGCTGCAAGCTGTAATAAATGCTGCTGATTAATATCAAAATAAGTTATAATTTATTTTGTATAATAAAGGGTGCACCAAAATAACTTGACGGTTTTTAATACTAAATAACTCAAGAACAAAATAAAATTTTAGGTCTTAAATAACGTTATAAGGTCAACACTACTATGCCATTTTCATTTACGAAAAATTATATCACTTAGGTGATGACCTTCTCCTAAAACGCAGGCTTCCCATATTTTTGGCGTATTTATTTGCAGTCACCTTCACCTGAGGAATAGTAACAATATCTTCCCGGATACACTGCTTGAGTTCAGAGATGGTTCGAAGTTTCGAAACAAACACTTTGCTTTTTAAATATCCTCACAACTAACAATCACACGAAGCTAAGTATGGAGATTGAGCTGACCACAGCACATCACGAAATCAAGAGATCACTTTACGGGAAAGAGTTCACGCAAAACTGTCTTTGAATAATTGTCTGTGTGACAAGCTGCACCGTCCTGTTGAAACCATGTGTTGGACATGTTTATCCCTCCTAACATTCGCAATCTTGAAACCAAAAGTCCCTCAGTATTTTCACATAGCGTTCCGAGTTTACAGTGACGGTGTTCCCCCTTTCGTCCTCAAAAACTATGGTCCGATGACTCCAAACCGTGCCACACCACACTAGACAGCAACTTTGTTTCGATGAAGAGATGTTTCACCAAACATAGCCTAAAAATGGCATAACATAAGGAATCGTTCACTACAACAATGAGGTCTCAAGCTTGTATAACAACTGACTTATTACAAAACAGAAACCGTCAGGTTTTTTTGGCGCACCCTTTACATCGGTCATTGAATACAAACCATAATGGGTTTTCTATTTGTAACTTTAACTTGCAAATACAGTAGAACCTCGCTTAACTGGAGTCGCATCATCATGATGCCTATATATTATATAACCTCACAAATCCCAAGAAAATGTTTTATTAACTGTGTTTTTCAGTCTAATATTTCGATATGAACGATATATTTAACTATTTACGGTAATTTTTATGTGCAGTAGGTTCCCAATTATTGAAATATTACAGTTCATTTAACAAAAATAAGATGGAAGCAAAACGGAGAAATATCGATCAGTATCGTCAAGGTCAACCTATACGCTCGCACCTACAGACTGACAATCTTGCACTGACACTGACATACTGACAATCGTCTGCTTCTGTCTGCTGTCACAACACTACAATATTTTGTGGTTGGGTCGTTGGGTGATTGGTTACCATGACAACTTGTGGATGTAGAGAAACCAAAGAAAGAATAGAACAAAGAGAAATAATAAGAGGTGTTTTACATCATTTTTATCTTTATCTTATTTTTATCATTGTTATTATTACCAGAAAGACTTAAGTACAGTACTATGATTTTATGGTGTTTTATGAGTTATTTAATATTTTTATCCCCATACTTCTGTTCTGAAACATCATGTAGTAGTAGCCTAGGATGACTACGGTATCAGTAGTCTTCTAGTCTACATTTTCATTTTGTTTTGTTCTTTACGTGATTTATTGCTGTACAGTAAGCAAGTTTTGTTTTGTTTGAGTAAGCATACGGTGTAGTTTTTATTAGTAAACCAAGGTTAACGACTTAACATATCACGGTTGCGCAATACCTATTATGTATTTTGACTATGTAAAATGCAAATTTATAATCACGTTAACGTCCATTTATATAGTGTCCCGGAACGGCATTGTTCCTGAGTAAGAAACATATAAATATCATATTTAAATTATCCAGAAGTCCTTAGTTACTCACACGGGGAAAAAAAGTTTTAGGCCTAAATCATTTGAAATCATTGAAACACTACATATTTTTGGTCGAGTTTTCGACCACTGGACGACCACTAGTTAAAGTTAATTGTATTACAACAATCTTTATAGTAAGCAATATAAGCTTGAATCGGACTTATCTGCCTTCAGCTAATCCATCATATGATAGTACGTTAGAGAGTATGCCCATGCTGAAGTTTTACTTATACTTGAAGAATGACTTAATTTAGTACCAAGAAATAAATCACACCCCTTACATACACTGTGCTGTTTTAATGCTGTGTAGTTGATTGCTACTGTATTAACCTGTGATCGCATATTAATTCATTCATTAGGAACGTATTTAAAAAAATACTACTTTTATTT